GACTAATCATATGATACTTGCTACGTTTTTATCAGCTGTTCTAGTGAAAACCCACTGGTTCAGTGGTGCTTTTGTGGAGTTTTGGTGCTGATGTGTAAGCACTATGTTAGCCTTTTGTACTAGGAAAATGGACCTCTTGTTTTGGTTTAGGAGGGTGAGGCCTTTTTGTGTGGCTGCTCATGTAAACCTGTAGTTGGCGGGGAACCTTTTGGTTTCAGACAAGTTATTTTTAGTCTTGATTTAGATGCCATCCTTTGGCTATTTAGCTATGTGTTTAATATAAGCTAAAGTCACTGTTTCCAAGATGTCTTCATGTACTCGTTCCAGAGTCACAGATGAGCTGATGGAAAGAAAATGTAATCAATTTACAAAGCCCTGGTAATTCAAGACTGAAATTCCATTCTGGAGGTGGTGATAGTTAAAGAAAACTGCACAGTACGAATCAGTCAGCTTTGTGGAGGAACAGAGGAGGGCAGGATATGTGCTCTATAATAGGAGTGTTTTGACATCTTTTCAGTGTCAGTGAGAGGTGAATTCGCTAGGAGAAAACAAGCCTCTAAAGCAATTTTAATGCCACAAGGTGACTATTTTAGAATAATTTCTGCCTCTTGAAATATTGTTTAAGTGGTCTTTGTGTGTTCAGTTAAGTATGAAAGAGGAAGTACTTCTCCAGATGACACAGGCTCTTTGTACAGTGACGAGCAGCACGAGTCTTGCTTATTGCACCGCAGCTGACTACTCAGCTCAACTCTGCGTGCTGTGGACGATTTTCTGCCTAGTGTCAGTGAAGGCAGAGGTGCCAGGAGTTTCGAACAAGGCCACCACTGCAAGCTGAAAGCAATATAAAAATGTTTCAGTTCAATAAACTGCTGAACTTTCCCTCTATTATGTTTCCTTTATGGATCCATAAAGTGTTTTGGGGGATAAGTTGCCTCGTTCTTCTGACTTGGCTCTAATGTGTTTAATGTCTTGCTGCTGCCATGCTTTAACCCTTTCTGTGCTCATCTTCCATGTGAGTAACTGCCGTGACTTTTTACCAGTAGAAGGCAGCATGGGCTATGCAAGACAAGCTCCAGCTAAATTTGGTGTCTGTTACAAAATTGTTGCACTGACTGCTGGAATTTAATTAATTAGGATTCATGTCCTGATTTATTTACATATGTGGTGATGGAACTTAAAAGTTCAGTTGACAATAAGTCTGATAAATGGCGAGACATTAGAAGCAATCTCAGTAATGGGAGAAGGAAAGCTCTATCCCACTTGTAAAATAGGAAACTGAGGCACAAGGCGTGATAGGCACAAGGGTGTATCAGGCTGACAGACAACTCTATCAGATTTGCTGAATTCTAGTCCAGTGTTTCACCTGTACCTGTTAAGAAATGTTCTAGGCTTCTTGCCGGAGCACTGCTAGTCTGTGTTATATCTCTGTATCGTAGTCAGCTGCTTGCAGTTCCTTTTGGGATTGATTATTTGAGTAAGGATTAAGAAGAAAAAAAGAAGGTTGTGGCTCTGCCATTTAGCATTAGACTGTTTGGTGTTTGTTCCCATTCATGAGATAAGGAAGATATGGCTGTGCTTCTTTCCAGTGTTTGAGGAAGATGGACAAGAAGAAAAGAATGAATACTTTGTTTCACTTAACAAGTTTAGTGTAATAGTATCAGGTGAATTAAGTTTGAAGTGAGGTTCTGTGTACATTTGTGTTCATACAACTGCTTCAGAATATAAAGTTGTTTAACTTTAAAAGGAAGACATCAAAAAACCCCAAGTGCCATGCCCCCAAACCTAAACACAAAAAAAAAATCCCAGAAGGCACCAAACAAAACTGAAAACCTTTAACTTGCCTTTACCTTTTCTTTTTGTGTAGTGCTGTCCTTGGAACGGCAATGCAAATGCTTCAAATGCTGGTGCAGACACTGGGGAGAATGCTTGACTTACCCTCATCTTGAGCCAATAATTGATTCAAGATTTTATTTTAGACAGCTTTTAGCATATTGCTAAAATGGAACGGGTTGCCCAGAGATGTTGTGGATGCCCCATCCCTGGATGTCTTCAAGGCCAGGCTGGATGAGGCTTTGAGCAACCTGGTCTAGTGCAAGGTGTCCCTGACCATGGCAGGGGGGTTGGAACTAGATGATCTTTAAGGTCCCTTCCAACCCAAACCATTCTGTGATTCTATACTGCTTCATGTCCTAATTAGAAGTATAAAAACTAGACACACTGAAGGTCAAAGATTGCTAATATTACTATGGCTGCCTGATGGCATGTTGTTGCCAAAACAATTGTGCATCTCACAATTTGTAGTGTGCAAAGCTTAACTCAATTTGGAAGACTGTGGTCAAAGCTCAGAGAAGAGGCAGGCAAAACAGTACTTAATGTCTTGAGGGGCCTAGCGCTGCCATCCCTGAAATGAAATGCAGCTCTAACACAAATATGTTATGTGACTCTGTGTGTCTCATAAATCTGAAATTTTTGAATAAGACAGGCAGTGGAGAGGGACAAGTTATCTGATTGTTAAGGGGAATGACAATAGCTATTGATAGCAGGCATATTGTTGGTATTGGAATTGTGGTCACTCATGTATAGGAATGACCTGGGAAAAATTAATTAAATTCTGTTGGTGCCTAACTCTTGTCAGCAGTGGCCTTCACAAGCTTGTTCTTGTCGATTCTGGGTTTTTCAGTTGTTTAACTTTATATTGGAAACTCAATACATTATACAATTTGATATATATATATATGTAAAAATAAAGATTATTTGAAAAACTGGGGTTATATAGCTGTGTGACACACTCAAACATTAGGTTAGTTTTTCACTTAGCTCATAAAATTCCCAGTCCTTTGAACACAGGTACAATATTGAGTCTGAAAATTTTGAGTAATGCTTGCTTCCTAAAGCAATTGTTTCAATAAATAGTTTGTGTTTTAATTTTGGATCTGTCTTGGCTGTCCAGTTGGGCAGTTAGGCAGGCTAAACAGTGGGGAAAATGGCTTAACTCATTCTAATGTTGAATACTTTTCAACTCCTTCCCTCCTGCCACCCAAGCTGACAGAAGACTGAATTCTGATAGAGGAGTGGTGTGGGCTTCTAACAAGCTTTCTTTCAGAAAAACCATACCTTTATTCCCATTTCAGCAGTTCACCTGCTCCTTATACCTCCAGTCGCAGGTAGATGGCTGCTAGCTGCCTCGTGTAGGAAACTAACAATTTCTTTCACCAATCCAGTGCTAGTTTGCAGTCATTTCTACCTTTAGAATAAAGAACTGCCCACCTAGTTGCTATCCACCTTTTTTTCTGTAACTTCCACTATTTTGGAATCTCAGATTCTTGACTGATGCATTCTGCTGTCACCTAGATATTGTCAAAGATCCTTATTCCGGAAGTCAAGAAGTGCTTGAGCACAATAGGAAATGAAAGTACTGTTTTTTAAAACCAAAAGTTAAATGTGTTGCACAGTGTCTGCTATTGTTCCTTTGTAGGAAGCAAGTGGGACTGTTCCCTCTACCTATTAGATGAAAAGCTCATTGAATACCCAATCTTGTATAAGGTTCTCTGCGTTTTTAAGTGTGCTGTGAAAGGAGATGTGAAAGGACAATGCTGGTGTTGAAGTAGAGGTGAAATGTGTCCTATGAGGCCTTTCTTCTGAGCTACACCTTGGTAACGTGGTGTGTAATTTGGGAGTTACTTATTGATTTAAGCCTTCCATTCTGCAGTAGAAGGGCCTGTTTGTTTAATAGCTACCCTGTATGACTTGTTAGTAATTCCTTATCTGGGCTGTGTGTGAACCAGTATTTCCAGTACTGTATTACTAGAGTGTTTAAAACATTATCTTGCAAATGAGCACCAATAAAAAATAAATCTAAGCTCCATGAAGCTCACAAATCCCATTATGTACTTTTTAATAAAATCCTCAGGGCAGTATTGGAGCAGCCTACCTAATGATCCACCTTCCTGACTCTTCCTAACTTAAAGCCTGGAATATAAAAAGTGATTTAAATGCCATAGCGTATTTGAAATCAAGCTGTCCTTCATTGGAATACTCATGGCCTGAGGAAAATGTCACAGGGCTGCCTTCTCTTCTCACCAGGAGGTATGTTAAACTTGCAACAGAAAATGTTGTTACAAGTGTAGATGTATGTAATGAAAAGCTCTTTGTGAAGCCTAACCTCTCTTTCTTTACTCTGACATCTTCACCTGTAGAAGAGAGAAAAGGGATCCTTAAATTACAGCAGTTTATTCTGACTCAGCCTGTACCTATTTGAGGGGATCTGTTGAAATAATGTAGCACACTGAATATAAATTCTCTAGGTTATTAAACTGACACCAAAAAATAGCTGCCAACATAAGTGGCCTCAGCCAAAGATCAGGTTTTTTCTTGGCGGGGTTTGCTAGCATGACCCAGTCTGGCATAGGAGTATCAGTAGACCTAGGGGTTAACTTGTGCTGTAGTGCATACCAGGTGACAAGTGTCTGTGATGTTTCAGTGACACTGGTTCTCAAATCAGCAATGTGTGTTCTTATCGTACATTTCCATCAAAACGGAAACTAAATTTAAATGGCTTTTGGGTTTTGAATTATACACTAAATTTAGAATTTGTATAAGCAACACTTGCTTAAGCAAGTGTGAGGTTTTGCTGATGATTATTCTGTCCTCCTGGCTCTGCTAGTGTTCAGTGCCATTGTTAGTGTCTGAAACGGTTCAGCTGTACAGTCCCTGCAGGTGATTGCCTGCACTTGCCCTTCACAGGTGTCTTCAACTGTGACTTTACCTATGACTATGTACTGTTTCTTTAAAGGCCATATACACGAGGTACTTAGATTATTTACATCAGTGAAATGTCCTAGTAGACAGGTAGCATCTTTGCTCCATGTACCTCCTCTCTATTCTTGCATTAGTACAGTTTCAGAGAATGCTCCTTGCTTATCAGCAGCTAAGGAAATTGGCTTTAAGAACTGTGTAAAGATGTATAATCCTCTACATCTAACTTGTTTTCTTTTGCAGGAAGGATTTCTCACCATGGCCGTAACACAGTTTCGACTCTTTAAAATCTGTACTTGCCTGGCAGCAGTGCTTTCTTTCATTAAAAAGTTAATATGCAGGTAAACTTGTCTTATTTAATTTGGTTAGCTTTTCTTTGTTAATTACAGATTCTTGCACTTCTTTGGTTCTCTCAAAACCCACCGACCACTTTTCCCAGTTCTGATTTTACTAATTGCAAAGCAGCCAAGACAAATAAAAATCTACATATTTCTTCAGGGTCCAAAAGTCTGTGTGGTGCAGTTGTGACTGTATTTTATGGTATGACAGCTATAATGGGGAGTGTTTTCTAAGCAGCTATGACAGGGTTTTAAAATTGCCTTTTAAAACTATCCTGTTTCAAACGTTAAGAAAAACTGTCCACGTTTTCTAGAAGCACTTGGCAAGTGATACTTTAAGAGGTTCAGTTAATGGCGTCGTCCACCCAGTCATCAGTCGGTAGGCTTCTGTTAGAAATGTGATTCTCTTCCTGCTTTCTCAAGAAACAGTTGCCTGAGACTGCAGATTCTTCGGCCTATTGGAAATTCTTTTTTCAGATGTTGGAAGGACAGTGATTAAAATTCAAGGGAACTGCTTTATTTTGTTGTTCTTGATGAACATGACTTATTTTTGCTTACTCTTGTAAGCCATATTTAGCATTCTTTTGAGTTGTAGATCTATGAACACAGCAGTGTAGTACAAAGAAGCCTTCAAAAAACCCTCAGTAGTTACAGCTGTGTAATAGTGGTGCTTAGCAGTACAGTAGGAGAGTACCAGTCGTGGTTTAACTCCGGCTAGCAAAATACCACGAAGCCGCTCTCACAAATCCACCTCCCCTCCTCCAGTGGAGGGGACAAATCGGAGGAAAAAGAAATAAGGAAGCTCGTAAAATTGAGATAAGAACTATTTACTAATTAAATCTAAATTCATATATGCAAGTACTACTACTACTAAATAATTAAAACAGCAGAAAATAAAACATCTGTTACAATATGATAAAATTCCTCACCACTCACAGACCGATGCACAACAGGTGTTGAGTAGTGAGAGTCAGACCCAGAGAGCCCAAGAGCCGCAGGCTGAGAGCTATCACAGCCCGAGGGCCGCAGCCCGAGCACTGCCACAGCAGATTCCGAATGAACCCTATCAGCCATAGCAAGGCCGGGAAAACCAAACAAACCCACCAACTCCCTCATGAACGAGCCAGCACAGGAGTCAGCAAAGCAGCTAACGCAGGAGTCGGGGTGAGGGTTAGCAAGTGTACGGGAGCGAACCAGAGAGAGTAAGGGAGAGAGTAATGGCTCCCAGACCCCTTCCTCGCCTCTGCCCCGCGCCTGACGTCTTTGGTCAGTTTGGGTCAGGTTCCTGAACTGTGTGTCCCCTGCACTGCCTGTAGCAAGACAGTGAGAGCTGGGAACGCAGCTGCAGGATCAGAAGCAGAGAAAGACCTTGAATCTGGTGCAGGTATTGCCCAGCGCCAGCTGAGAACTTATCAGTGCTGCTCTCTGCATCCAGGAACAGCTTCCTAGCAGCCAGGGTAAAGGGAGTTAACTCTTTCCTAGCTGAATCCAGCACAGTACCTGAGGTAGATCTTCTCAGCACTGTGAGAAGATCTACTGTTGCTACTTGTCACTCTTGCAGAATGTTGTTTTACATAAACACATAGCCTAGAGAAATGTGTTCTCCTTTTGTGTGCGTTGGCAGTAAGGTTAATGCATATGCAGAACATGTGGTAGACGCACAATAACTTTATTTCCTGTTCACCTTTATTTATCCCAAGAATAAGAGGAAGCTCTCAACTGGTTGGTAAATATGCCACAGATGTAGTGAACCTTTAAATAATGTATTTTAATGCTGCATATGCTATGTAGATGTCAACCGTGGTTCTGTGATTTGAATTCCAAATTGAATTAAGAATACTTGCTGTTCAAGTTCTAAAACACCAAGTTGATGATAGCTTCTATATTATGAAGTCCCTTTGTCTCTCTAAGTGTTAAGATAGCTTTTATAAGCAGATAATTGTTTAGCAGGTGGAATTGACAGTATTTTCCTCAGTTTTTCAACTTCTGATGAACTAAGACCTTGAAATGAATAGGTGAGGAACTGCTTGGGAGTAAAAAGAAGGAGAACTTTTCTTGTGTGAATAACAATTAGTTGAAAGAGTGAAAATTTAAAATCTTTCACATAAGCAAGTCAGTGGATCAAATTACTTCAGTTCATTAACTACTGAAGTTTCTCCTGTTTACTGTCAGCTGCAAAGTACAGCTTGATAAATTTTGCTTTCCTGTAATGCACCCCTGCCTGTGAGTATGCCTGATAACCAACGAATGTGACTAAATGTGCGTTTTAATTTAATGGATACAAACAAGTATTTATTTAGATTATATAGGTTACATTAGTTTTCATTTAAACAAGTGCCTGTAGAGATCATGCATCTTCCTAGTCAGCGTAAAGCCTGTGTATAGTACTAGTCATCTCTTTAGTTAAAACCTTTTTGATAAATAACAGCCTGCCTGAATTTACTTCTTCCAGGAAATAAAAGTATAGTAAGAGGTGAAACTTAATTCTGTTTAAAACCTCTAGTTATCTTCTCCAGCTCAGACATCTGGATGCTGTTAATTAGTAAGGATAAACAAAACCGAGAGTTCTTGAGGCATTTGGCATTCACAGCAGTGATCAGTATCCATCTACTGATGGTTGTGATGTGATTGTTCCTATAAGCATCATGTTCTCTTTGTAGAAAAAGAAGTGGAGGTACATAGCCATCCTCAGTCCTGCACTGTGTAGCATATTCTTTCCCAGGCTGTATGACGGAAGCTGTTTCCTTCCACTTTCACCTTTGTCAGTGTCATCGTTTTGGCTAGAGGAATGATTGTTATAAGCCACTTGGTGGAGTCTTCTAGGTCATATAAAGAGAGGAATATATATAATTGCACAAGTGATGGCTTAGTATAGTGTTAAAGATAAGTATGTTCTAGACATCTGAAGGAGGATGTACCCAAGCTTGTGTTTCCTTTAGAGACATCAACCACTTCTGTCAAGCCAGAACCAGAAGTCTCTAATGTGTTTTGAGGGAACAGTGCTTTCACCTTCCTTTAGCCCTAAACTGTGTTGCTTTTCAGCTTAAAGGAACAGTTTCTCAAGGTGCTAGAGTTCATTATACAAAGCTCGAAAATTTGATGATAGCACCTGATCTTTGCAAAGGAAGAATATTGGGCTTAAAGTAGGAGAAATATGTCTAATCACTCACCAGCATGCAGCAGAGATGGTATTGCAAGCAATTCAGCTACTGTGAGTTGATGGTAGAATGTTCTATAATAGTAAAACTTATGGATATGAACTCGAGATTGTAGCTTCCCAGTTGTATTCTCATCAGTAGTAATAGAATAAACTTTTCCAAGCTGCATGAGGTCAATTACATGATTGACTTGCTATAGGAGCTTACACTCCTTGGGAAAAACATGAGAGTGAGCCTGAATTTCATTCCCTTGTATTGTAAGGTTTTAAAATACAACGAATGTCAGCTAAAAATATTTTAATTATTATTGTGATCTTTGACGCTGTCACTAAGTAAATATCTAGGTGGTTTATCTGCAATTAGTGTTTGTCTTCAATCAAAATTAGTTGATAGAGTTGCGGCAATACTTTAATGGAAACTATTCTCGAAGTAAGTGGGAGCATGTATCGAACAGAAGCTGTTGACTTGCCTAATCTTGTACTACCTCTGTTTAGACTTGGAAGGAAAAAATGCTTTAGTAGCTCAGAAAGCAATTTGTTAGTTTAAGATGTAAGACAAGTAGATTTCTCAGTTTATGGTAAAATGGTTATCTTTGAACAAATGTAGAACGAAGTGTTTGCTTCATAAACACTGACAATCTAAAAATTGTATCTGACTATGCAAATAACTGAGTTCATTTGTCCATTTTCTTATTTGTTGGAGTTGCTTCTTCTCTGTTTCCACTGCAGTTTGAAAAGTAAATTACACTGAAATTCTGTGAACGCTGCTTTAAATTCATAGTGAAATTCCTTTTGTTTAGCAGACTTGTACTGGTAGTAGTTAATACTAAGGTAGTTTAAGTACTTAATGATTTAGCCATGACTTAATTTTTAGTAGTGCTGTTCTCAGACTTCCTTTTTGTTTTTTTTAAACTTAGTGCTCATGTTTTCAGAGCTTGGAGGAATCCTACATTTTTCTTTCAGGTCTGGAAGAGGGCGAAAGTTAAGTGGAGACCAAATAACTTTGCCAACCACAGTGGATTATTCATCTGTTCCTAAACAGGTAATTGCTTAAGTGGTAGGTGACTTAATCACTTAACAGAGTGATTATACCAGTCCTACAACAGGATTGGTATCCATCTTAGAAAGATATATTATTATTATATATGCTATATCATATTAAGTACGTATCTTAGCAAGATAGAAGATGACCAGTTTTTACTTGCAGGTAACATTAACTTGTACCATATACTTCTACTCAGCCAGAAGCAGAAGACTGGTCTTCATGGGACGAAGATGCCCCTACCAGTGTGAAGATTGAAGGTGGCAATGGTAATATGGCTACTCAGCAAAATCCTTTGGAACAAATGGAACCTGATTATTTCAAAGATATGACACCAACTATAAGAAAAACTCAAAAGGTAGGTATTGCACTTTCAACTATATACAGAGGGTTTTCCTTGCTTTAAAATAGGCTGTAAGCAAATTGGCAACTTGTAGCAGGTGCTTCTGGTAAAATCAAGTTGTCCTATTGACATGAGAATAGGTGCTGTTGTCTAGTCTAACATGTCCAGGTAAAAATACTGTCTCTGAGCTCTTGCCAAATGTGATGCTGGTTCATGTTTACCTCTTCAGTCTTGCTGTTATTGGAAACTGATGAAGAAATTCATAGCCTGAAGGGTCTGGGAAGTATAACCCTCAAGTCACTTCAGTTCTGAAAATGGAACCACTGCTCTAAGATAGTTGTGCTTATATGTTTCCATTATTCAAACAGAGACATTCCGTGTCCTGCTCTACTGGAGTCTGAGGTAGAAGCACTGCTGTTTCAGAAAACAGATGTTACTTGTTTCACCAAGTTACATTAGGGAGCTGATAGTTCAGAATAGCTTTGAACTATCTATCTGAATAGATAGTTCAAATATCCATTTTTATTATGGAGTCAAGACAGAAGGGCGTGTCTGCAACAGTATCAACACGGTAAACAAATGCTGATTAAACTTCTGGTAATTGCAAGTTTTGTTTCTATGTGGAAATCTTCCAGCTGACTACTTCCAAGGCTTTGAGTCAGCTGGAAAACTATCTTCACAACGAAGGTGGTGAAGCACTGGAACAGGTTACCAGAGCGGTGGTGTGGGCTCCATGTCTGGAGTTTCCAAAGACCCAACTGGATAAGTCCTGAGTACCTTCATCAGCCTCAGAGCTGACAGTGGTTTGGGGACGAGGTTGGATTACAGACCTCCTGAGGGCTATTACAACCTAAATCTTTTTGAGGTCCTATGAGCTAGAGATGATACTGGGGTCAGTTTTCTGTACATTCAGGATCTGCAGTGTTCTGTGGACTAAATTCTTCTAAAGATTTTGATCTCCCAGAATCTGGGGGCAGAGGAGAACTGGGGAAGAGCTAGACTTCTCCTTTGTATCTAGGGACACTTTTCACCTAATAGATTAAACTTCAGGTACGGAATGAAACTTGAGAAGAGTCTATAGTGTTTGACAGCTGTGTACTGGGTTTAGTTTAAATGTATCTGCTAACTTGGCCTTGTTAACACCTGTAAATATGAATATGTGCTGGTATTTCCACCAAATCTGGGCTCAACATGAACCCCAGTATCTGAGGTTATACTTGTGTTACAGGTCATACGTACAATATCTGGAAATGGAACTTCAGTCAAATATCAGTCTGTCATTGCTAAATAAGATGGTCTAGTCCTGTTCCCTTTCTTGCATTGCTACTAGCACTTGTAAGGTTAGAGGAACTGTGAATCTACCTCTTGGAAGCAGCAGAGTTTTAAAGTAGGCTAAATTAAATGAGTAAGTTTCTATCTTGAGGTCAAGCCAAGATACATGATCTTAGCAGCCATGTTACATTTGCTAGTAAGCCTTTTAGGAGAAGCATTAGTGCATGTTTTTCAGCCACATCAGTCGAGCTTTACCAGTTGATGTGATAGTGAATTGCATTTCAAATATTGAAACTTACTGTCTGCACAGATGTGCTGTTAAAGTAGCCAAGAGAGCTTGTGTTCTAAAGCAGTAAAGCTGTGTAGACAGCACTGTTCTCAAGAGTAATATCTTACAGTGGCCTGTCGTGGAAGCAGGATTTCTCCAAGGAATGTATCCGGTAACTGGTAGCTTAGATGAGTATTGGAAGATGTGGCTATTTGTACTGTAATTCCTTGTCCCCTTTCTCTATTTTGATACAGTCACAGGTTTCTATGTGACTTAAGAAAAAGCTAGTGGGGGAAGAGAGGATTCTTGTCTCTTGCATTCAGGTTCTCTCACTTACCACGTCATTTGGCTGTACAGCTTCCAGAACTGGAGCAGGTTTGGGATGCAGTGCGGTGTTGTGTAGCTGTACCTTCAAAGCACAGAGTTGTATGATCACCAAGCCATCCAGTCCTTACACTTACCACTTTTCATTGCTCTTTTTTTGAATATTTTTCAGATAGTTATTAAAAAACGAGAGCCTTTAAATTTTGGGATTCCAGAGGGAAACACAGGATTCTCTAGCAGATTAGCAGCTACACAAGATATTCCTTTTATTCACCAGTCTGTAAGTATGCTCAGTGTATTGATCCTGTATTTGACAGTTAAATGACTCTTCTGTAGGAGAAGGAATAGTCTGCCTAAGGGCTGCATTATAGGGAGCAAGAGAAATAGTTGTGAATATAAATTGTTTTCAAATGGAGTATTTGGTTCAAAGCCATGAAGTTGTTAATCTAATTTTAACTAATTAATTCTACTAAGAAACTTAACAGATCAGTGATAAAATGCTGAGAAGCTTCCAACCACTTGTATACTTTGCAAATCTTCTAAAGCAACGGGCTACACATTTTTTTGGATTCTACACAGTAAGTTCCTAACAAGAGTAGGCTTTTTTTCGTAAAAGCCTTTAGGTTACTCTTGCTTTATTGTCTTGGAGCCATTTTTAACTTTCTCCTTCTCCCTTCCTTTCTGTATGGATTTTATTCTAACAGTCTCCTAATTATTGCTCTTTAGCCTTTGAAAAAATAGTCAAGTTACCAAATAGCCTGCCTGTTTACAGGGAGATGCTATCTCTCTTCCCTTTGCTGCCTTTAACAGTGCTTCTGCTTTTGTTATCACAGTGCACTTCCAGTGAGCAAAAGCAGCACTCAAGTGATACTGGACACACCAACATGTGGATGTACATGTTGGTTTGTTCGTGTAACTTCCAGAAATCTTTTATACTATCTACTCAGTTCAACTGCTGAACTTACCTTCTCTTTCCTAAAAATGCACTCTAGTACTTCCTTCCTGTCTTTCTTTGTTACTGACTGGTAGAATAAAAAAAACATAATCTCCAGTCATTACTGGGAAAAGTCAGTCTTAGAACAGTGAAAAACAGACAATAAACTGAGAAGTAGTCATATCTCAAAGGTATCTGGAAGTCTGAAGTATCAGGGTTAAAAATGTTTTATCTATTTTTCCATGTGCTTAGATCTTCTTCCTTTGTTTCAGCCTGAACTGGGAGACTTGGATACTTGGCAAGAAAATACTAATGCCTGGGAAGAGGAGGAAGATGCTGCCTGGCAGGCAGAAGAAGTTCTTAGGTAACTGAAAATAATGTAACACCGTGTAAACTTTTACACATAAAAGAATCAAATACAGTTCTTTTTGTTGTAGGACCTTACCACTAAGTGCTAAGAATTGTTAATTCTTAAGACAAATTTTATGCATCTCTATGTAACTGGTACTTGGTAGAATATGTTTTGGATCTAATCAGTTTAGTAGATGAGGTAGTAGGGGAAATCTGAGAATTGTTGGAACAACACATTAGCTTCCCTCCAAAAAAACCAACCAACCCCAGCTACTATATACAAACAACATGTTTCAGCCTGATGATGTAAAATACCACTGAATGTCCTCACAAAAATGTACATAATCATGTGCTATAAAGTAAAGAAAAGTTCAGGATAGAAGATGAAGTTATAAGTATGTTCTTCGAATCCCCACAGGAGCTATTCTTTTCTACCTAACTTTACTAAACTAGCTGATAAAAGACTTGAATGTAAAATCAGTGACTTGCACAAAGTTAGTGTGAATAATACTTCATCTGTTCCATTCGTGTTCTTTTTTTTTTCCTCTTAAGAACACACAGAAGGAGTATGAAGGGTGAAGAGATGCAGATTGATTTTTAAGCTACTCACAGGCAGTTATTTGAATTGGCAGTGACCTAGGTTAACTAGCTTCATTTCAAGGTTTTATCAAACATTAATGGCTTGCTACATCATCAGACAACCTGCCTCACATGGCTCCACCTTCCTAAACTGTGCTCATTCTACTCACAGAATCACAACTACATGGCTTCAGTGGGACGATAGTGACTATGAAGAATGACATAGTGTATTAAAAAAATCATTCTAGAGCTGTGAATCTTTAAAGGAAAAGAGTAATTTTTCCAAAAAAGGATTCTGGTGAACAATTTATTGTAATATTTGGGAAAGCTCACTTTTTTCAACCGGTAGAGTAAGATGAGAGGGAATTCACCCAGCACACTTTTGATGCATTAATAATAGATAACAAATTAAACCAATTCTAATTCTGTCAGTCTGGCTCTGGAGAAGCTTAAAATGTGAGAGCGGAGTTGTACTACAAATATTTTTGTAAACTTAACCTGTATGTGTACCTTCTAGTCAATATCTTGGTGGTGTGTTTTTATTTTTTTTAAATTCAGTACAGAGACTGTTTAGGGTCTTGTGTCTCACTAATGTATCACAGAAGTACAAGCCTTTTGTGATAGGAATGTTGTGCCTTTGGGCTGTTGTTCTGAGGATAGTACCTTTTCCAGTAAAGAGTATCAGTAGGCTCAGTAAGATCTTTCATCTTTGAAGTGCAACGTACTAAGACCTAATCTATGATGCACCAGAAAAGAAAATGAAAGACAGTGAAAAATACTGCTTTTTTTTTTTTTTAACTGAGAAATGGAACAATTGTTTTTGCTCACTGCAGAGGCCACATTGTACTTTACTTAACCTGTACCACGTTCCATTACGGGTGATTTTAGGACTACAATTTTTACAATTTAGGACTCAATCTTTCCAAAGCAGAGATTTGTCTTGTACAAACCAGCTACTAAAAATAGTCTGGTGCGTGCATATGCCCACCTGTTTCTGGAGTGTAAAATCTGTGTAGTTGATATTCCCAGGATGGTCAAAGCTATGTTGTCTGCCAATTGTCAGGTTCATGGCCTGGAATACATAGTAAGAGAGATTTCTTGTGTGGGGGTAGCAGTGGGGCTTTTTCCACAAACTCCCATTTTTCCAGGTGTCACTGTATTTGGTTGAAGCTCTTCTAAAGATTTCAGCCTGGCATCTTTACTACCGAAAGGCTTCAGCTCAAGTGGTCAGTTTTCATAGTCTTCTTCCCTGGCCCCACGAAGAAATATCAAAACGTCTTGTTTTAGAAGGGATGTGTATGTGTCCAAGTACTTCAAGTAAATAGAAAGAACATGATCAAAACAGCAACATGTGTTACATGCTTCTTGGCCAGCTATGAATGGCCACCTCAGTACAAGTGATCATTGTGTAAGCTGTATCCCAGCTGTGTGAAGTAAAACCTTTGCTTCATTCATGACACATCAAATTACAGTGTTTTTCTGTAACTGAAGAAAGTGCTGGCTTAATGATCTTAAAGGTAGTTTTTCCAACCTAAAAGATTCTACGATTCTGTGGATATTAGGAAAAATTTCCTCACTGAAAGGGTTGTCAGGCATTGGAATGGGCTGCCTAGGGAGGTGGTTGAGTCACCGTCCCTGGGGGTATTTGAGATGTGTGGATGAGGCATTTAAGGACATGGTATAGTGGTGGTATTGGCAGTGTTAGGTTAACAGTTGGACTTGATGATCTGAAAGATCTTTTCCAACCTAAAAGACTCCGTGATTTTTAGCAAGATTGATAAGTACCACCTTCTGGGTTTACAGTTTCCCTTTGCAGTAGACATCTTTGTAACTAACACGTGACATTTAACATGAAACTTTAGTATTTGACAGGCCTGGCTCTGTTTTCAACAGACAGTAGTAAGACGTGATCTGGACTCTCTTCTTAATGCTAGAAGACTGCTTTTTGGTCTACAAAATGATCTGAAGATTTCAGGCTGCTAAATGGGGGACAAAGTTGCCCTAACCCTGCAGAGTGTTAATGCTGACTGTGCTCCAGCTGTGCCTGTTGAGTAAGCTAGCTGTGTCTGGTACCTACCTGCTGGTGCTCAGCTGGTATTCAGAAGTGTCTCTGACCAGAGTTGGTTTTGTGTAGTAATGGAGTGCTGATCAATAATGCAAAATTGGGCTGTGGCCTGCTAAATAGCAGGGGAGGCTATGTTGTGTACCCTTCGCCCTGGTCACTTAATGTGTAACAGTTGAAATAAGCATGTGTAGTAAGCCAGGTGGTTCCTGGAATCAAAGTATGTGGAAAGACAGTGCTGAGGAGTTGGCCACTGGTGCCTGAGAAGTTCTTGTCTGGTGGTTTGGTGGTGTGTGGTTCTTTGTGTTTTGTTTGGTTTCCCCCCCCCCCCCCGCCTCCACTCCCCAGCAGGTTCTGGGCTGGGATGCACTGAAATATTCCAGTCCAGAATGAATCCACATAGTGCATGATAAACCGGATTTTCAGTTAGTTGAAGTTAGCTAGAGCTTGGTTTCTTGTACAAATTGTAGCTACTGATCTCCACCTTTACACTCTCTAATATAAATCTCTTTCCCAGTGGGAACAGTTAAGATAAATGCCTGCACATTTTTAACTGTGTCGAAGTAAAAGACCAAATGGTGTGAAATCCTTATTACAGTTATTCAGTATGTAATATCAGCAGGATATTGACCGCTTGGAGCGAGTCCAGAGGAGGCCACGAAGATGCTCAGAGGGCTGGAGCACCTCTGCTATGACGAAAGGCTGCAAGAATTGGGCTGCTTCAGCCTGGAGAAGAGGCTCCGAGGAGACCTCATTGCAGCTTTCCAGTACCTGAAGGGGGCCTACAAGGGTGCTGGGAGAGGACTTTTTACAAGAGCCTGTAGTGATAGGACAAGGGGTAACGGGTACAAATTGAAATCAGTGGGGTTTAGATTAGATATCAGGAAGAAATTCTTCACAGAGAGGGTGGTGAGGCACTGGAACAGGTTGCCCAGAGAAGCTGTGGATGCCCCATCCCTGGAAGTGTTCAAGGCCAGGCTGGATGAGGCTTTGAGCAACCTGGTCTAGTGGAAGGTGGCCCTGCCCATGGCAGGAGGGTTGGAACTAGATGATCTTTAAGGTCCCTTCCAACCCTAACCATTCTATGATTGTATGTGTACAATAAATAAAACCATGCTGGAATAAGAATGGTTGGTAGAATGCTAATTATAATCAGCACCCTGTTAGCAGACAATGACGGGGGTTTGGGGTTTTCCTGGACATAACTTGTGTTAGGAATGCCAAGCAGGGTTAGCATCAGGAATGAATACTTTCCTGGTGTAAATATCTTTCATCATTCCATCCAAACTGTGCTTTGGAACCCATTTTTCATCATAGGCTCTTCCTTTAATGAGAAATGAAACCTTTCTGAGCCTGAAAGGTAATAACTTTATGTTGAAAACATACAAGAAGTTTGGAATAGAGATCACTGTTTTGAATAATGACCAAGTAAAAGAGCAGTGGAAAGGCAATCACTTTGTGGTAAGCTACTTGTTTGTATTTCTCAGTGACTTCAGTTATGCCCAGATGTCCTCAGACAGAGGAACTCAAGTCAGTAAAATTACTCAGCCAGTAGAGGGCATGGAAACCCCTTCTTTCTGCAGAGGAGTTCTGTGCTGTGCAGCTTATGGGGAGAAAAGAAACATGATCTGCTACGACATTCCTCACTTCAGAATGTCTCGGGAATAGCAGCGTTGCTTAACACCTCTTGTGGTTTTCTGGAACTGTACTGTCTCTTCATGCTGGCTGGTGTATGCAGAGCTTTGTCCCTTCTGCTTCAGTCCATCATCCCCTCAGATCGCGAGGAAAACGTTTGTAGGACTTGCGTTGCAATGAGGATAGCTATTGATGCCTCTGCTGAGGGAAAGGGGGACACCTGTCGCTGTTCCGGACGAGTCAAGCTGTTTTGGTCTGAATTTGAAATGAGGGGTGTCGTGGTGTAACCCGCCAGGCAGGTAAACACCACAGAGCCATTTGCGTGTGTACCCCCTGCAGTGGGATGGGGGAGAGAATCGGAAAAAAGCTAAAACCTGTGGTGTGAGATGAAGACAGTTTCGTAGGACAGAAAAGGAATGGAAAATAGTAATAATAGTACAAGAATATACAAAAGAAATGATGCTCAATGATATTGCTCACCACCCGCTGACTGATATCCAGCCAGTCCCTGAGCAGTGACCACCACCCTCTGCCTGGCTCCCCACAATTTCTATGTCCAGCACAATTTCATGTGGTGCAGAATATCCCTTTGGCCAGTTTGGGTCAGCTGTTGTCCTGTGTGCCCCCAGCCTCCTTGCTGGCAGGGCAGTGTGAGAAGCCGGAAATCCTTGACTTAGTACAAACGCTGCTTCGCAACAACTAACAATCAGTGTCTTATCAGCGTTGTTCTCATCCCACATCCAAACCACAGCACTATACCGGCTACTAGGAAGGAGATTCATGGATAATCTTGCTACTCAAAGCAGTAGATGGGCGTTTTTTCTTTTCCTGAATATCTCTAGGCTTTCTAGCTGTTGTACACTCTGTTTCACTTACTCTGAATCTTTAAGAATTGAGTGGCTTTTAGATTGTAAAATAATTGAACAAATATTACTGCCTAAGACTAGATTGAGCTGAAAAATGGACTTCAGCGCAATAAAAAACAACTGTTTGGAGCCTAGCTACGGTAGACTGAAGGTCTGGTTTTGTTATTTATAGTAACCTATTTATTGATGGGAACGTAAGGTATAACTGTGCTGAAAAGCGGGGTCCTGTTATTTAGCAACTCATGTTTTCTCTAATTGCAGGCAACAGAAGATGGCAGAAAGGGAAAAAAGAGCAGCAGAACAGCAACGAAAGAAAATGGAGAAAGAGGCCCAAAGGCTGATGAAAAAGGAACAAAACAAAATTGGTGTAAAACTGTCCTAACAGACACCAGGCAGCAGTGGGAGTGCCAGTGAAAGAGTATTTCAGCTCTACACCATACATGTTGGTATTGATTTAAGTATTTCTCGGACTTCAATGCGCTGCTTGGTTTCAATGCATCCTTCAGGTCGTCTTGGAAGCCAGGATTCTCCCAAAATGTCTTGAACTACTAGTAGGGCGTTCTTAAAGGAGGAAAAAAACCCCACAGAAAATCATGCCTTGGTGGAGTGGCGTTTCCTGCAATAGTTCCGTTCCAGCACCTTCTTTGCAGCCGCAGGGATTGAGCGAGGATGTTGACTGAAAGACACTTAACGAACAGCTCGAGCCTAGAGAAAAGAATGTAAATATTCAGTGGTGGGAAACCTACTGTATTGTCTGTGCTTACCTGAAACATGTAATTAAACAGTTTTAAAGAACCCTTTGCTTCCTGCCTGATAAAGAATGTCTGCTTTTGCCTTTTTTTAAAAGTATTTCTAAATACTTCAGTTTTCCATGGGAGACTGCGTGGACCTGTGCAGAAGCAACAGACTCGTTACGGATGACCTGCAGCTCTACATCCATGCCTGGCAGAGCGCAAGTTTCTGCTGAACGTGGAAGTGGATGCCTTGTTACCCTGTCGCTTGCAGCTTCCTGTGCTACCCTGCCCGTTTACAGCTCTGCAGTGGCCAGCGGCGTGGCTGCGCGCGGTGTGGTGCGCGCCCCTCCTTTCCCGTGGGGGCGATGAACGTGGGCGAATGATGTAATCACTTGTATGGTTAAATTTGTATTTCTAGCAGAAATACTTCTCCTTCCTACAGTTAGGAAAAAACCTCACCCTCACACCTGACACTTGTAGTGTGTGTATAAATGTACATAGGTAGTATACTTGGAAAAAAGAGATTGTTGCCCCGATCATAAAGCTAGTGTGAAAACTCTCTGTTCAGTTAACAGCACTCTTCAAGTTCTGTTTTTGTATGCTTACTGTATGTATTTACAGTGGAATTCCTCTGGGAAAAGTGTGCAAGGTGAGCGTGCAACAGAAGATGATAGTGCTTTAGGGGAGGAGTTAATGTCTGCTGGAAGGAGAGGAGGGGAGTCCACCTGGCTCTTCTCTCCAGCTCAGAGCTTCAGTGAATACCTTCTCCGTCTTGTGTTGTGGGGATGCCGTTATCCCAGAATTCAGGGGTTGTATGGATTTCTGCATCTGCGATAGACGGGTGAAGGTGGCAGGTTCTGTGCCTGAGGCTTGTTCCCTGGGCATGCAGGGCATGGTGACCACGTGGGAGAATGGGAAGGGGTGGGGGGCTGTCAGGCTGGGTCATCTCTGCCTAGAAAAACAGGTTGTAAGTAGATTCTGACACGTTTTGTTTAAAAAGACAAGTAATTGGGAAAGCTGGGCAGTAAGGATTACCTTCAGTGCCCATAGTCGTGGAGAAGAGTTTTTAAATGCTTAGTGTGCTTGTCATACTGCTTGAAATCGTGCCCAAGTCAGCTTTTTATATCTGAAAAGTTCTTGGGAAATGTTAAATTTTGAAATTAGAAGGTGGCAGTCCTGGGCTCCTGTGCCCATTCTCTGCACAGGTGTTCTGCCTGAGCAGAAGGGATGCCTGTGCTGCCTGAACGCATCTGAGGAGGAAATCCGCTCCTAGTGCACACCTAAGGTGTCCTGTGGTGAGGAGGAGGAGGAGGTCTGGGATGGGCTGCAGTACTGATCCGTGCCCGGCCTCCGAACGGCACTGGGGAAGCGAGGCGGTACCCTCGTCATCCCGTCGCTGTTGCTAACGGGGCAGGGAAACCTGGTATCGCCTGCTTGAGGCAAAACCTGTTGGAAGCTGTGTCGCGGCTTTTAAAAATGTGCTTATACTCTTTCTGAGACAATGTAAAATAGCTGTAAATAAATATTATTTATTAAAAATAACAAAACATGGGGTGGTTACTGAAAAGGTTAGAAACAAAGCCCCAGAGTACGTCGTGCAAGGGCTGCTATTTCTTGACCCTTCGGCTGTGGTAAAAACTGCTGCCACCTCCTTCCGCATCACCCTCCCGCATGGCTTTTCCCTCTCCGCCTGCCGTGTTCTGCTGCTCTTCCCTCCATCTCCCTACCCATCCTCGAGCACTGCTGCTGTAGGAATTGCACCCATCTCCTCTACCGTGTCCTAGGATAGTGCCAGGAAGGATAACGTGCTCTTGCATGTGGGATCTTTGGTGTTGAAGCCCCCTGCACTGAGCTGTTTCATCCTCTTCCTCTGCTGGCTGTCCTTTCCTCCTCCACACGTCCTGACTGTTAGCCTCAACAACCCTGACCACGCTTCTGCTTCACCTTTCGTCTGGCTGCTGCTCTGTCATCACATCATAGGAGCACCTCTGCTATGGGGATGGGCTGAGAGAGTTGGGCTTGTTCAGCCTGGAGAAGAGAAGGCTCCAGGGAGACCTTATTGCAGCCTTCCAGTACCTGAAGGGGCTACAAGGAAGCTGCGAGGGGACTTTTTACAAGGGCCTGTAGTGACAGGACAAAGGGTAATGGGTTTAAATTGAAAGTGGGGAGGTTTAGGTTAGGTATCAGGAAGAAGTTCTTCCCGGAGAGGGTGTTGAGGCACTGGAACAGGTTGCCCAGAGAAGCTGTGGATGCCCCATCCCTGGAAGTGCTCAAGGCCAAGCTGGATGAGGCTTTGAGCAACCTGGTCTAGTGGAAGGTGTCCCTGCCCATGGCAGGGGGGTTGGAACTAGATGGTCTTTAAGGTCCCTTCCAACCCTAACCATTCTGTGATTCTGTTTCAGCCCCAGCCAAGAGCTGCATGCTCTTCCCGCCTGCACGTGCTGAGACAAGACTCTCTGGTGCGTATGGGTGTGGGCATCCACGTTTTCTGAGCCCGGACAAAAGGGATGGGAGTTTTTATTGAACTGTTTGGAGGGCGATCCTCTTCCCCTGGCTGCTCTGTGCAGTGCCAGCAGGATGCAGGTGAGACGTGGCGAAGGGTGATGCCAAATGTTAGAGGGAAAAAAATGAGGGTGATACACCCGCAGCAACAGCCGGCGTATCCTCTGCGGATCGGGAATAGGCCAGTCCCTCAAAATCCGGGACTGGAGCATTTATGGTGGCACTTTGGGTCTCCCTACAAAGGCCGCCTTAAGCCGCCTGCATCCTTGCAGCATTCGGGCCCTTGTGTGCGTGACATTAAAAGCAGCAGCTCTCGCCGGTGCCCTGGGGCAGTGGTGTGACAGCAGGGGCACGAGGCTTGCACCAGCCCACGAAGGGAGGAGAGCACGGAAGTTACCGGCAGAGAAAGCAAGATGCTCAGGGCCATCTCTGAGAGCTCCTGGGGACTATGTTACATAAAATTGTCCCTTAGATTTCTCCTAATTAATGAATCCTCCTGAACCTTTGTTGCAAACTCAAGTAATGCAGAACCCGAGCATCATGGGGACATGAAAGGTCTCTTGAGTCACCTCTGTAAGCATCGGTGTGCATCACCCTCTCGAGCTACCCGCACGCCAGCCAATTATTCCTCCTCCCTTGTGTTACTAACAGCTCCCTCCTTCTCCAAAGCTGCGGGGTGACGCACGGCATCATCTAGCTCCGCTAGATGACTTCTGCCCTGGGTAGCCATGCTGGATTCAGCCAGGAAAGAG